GCGGGCGTGAGGCAGACGGGCAATGGGATGTGGGGTGTGCACGCAGACGGGCAATGGGATGTGGGGCTGGGGCCAGGTGGGAATGGAGCACGGGGGTGTGCGCGGTGGGCAGGAGGCCTGGAAGTGTGAGTCACGGGGCAGAGGGATGAGCTTGGGATGGGTGTGAAGTACACTAACAATGGGATGCGGGGTGTGCGTGCGGTGGGGCAGGGAGTGGGTGAGATGGGGTGGGCAGAAGGGCTGCAGGTGTGGGGTGCGGGGCGCCATGTGGTGGGAGTCAGGGGATGCGCTTGGAATGCGTAGCTTGGGATGAGCTACACGAGCAATGGGGTGTGAGGTTTGCATGCAGTGGGGCAGGGTGTGGGTGAGAATGGAGCGCAAGGGTGCAGCTGTGGGGGATGCCGTCCTGGGATGTGGGGTGCACCTGTGATGGGACACGGTGAGTGTGGCACAAGGGATGGGGCAGCGTGCAGTGCGGTTTGGGGCAGATATGCTGCAGAGTACAGAGGTGCCCCCAGCTGGGTGTGGGGTGTCATGGGACACAGGGTACACCCACACTGGGTCATGAGGTGGGTGCGATGGGCAGAGATGCGTTTGCAGGGAGCTGTTTGCATAATGGGACACAGGGATGCCTGTGCACAGGGTACTGGATGTCTGTGGAATGGGATGCGTGGATGTGCCTGCAGTGGGGCACGGTGTACCCATGCAGTGGGGCATGGAGACTTGCCTTGGAGATGAGCAGTGGGGCGCATAGTTGTGTGTGCGAGGAGGACGCAGGCAGTGCACAGGCTGTGGAACGCCCTGGGACGGAGGCGTGTGCGTGGGCAGAGAGTGGGCCCGGGGAGTTGCAGATGCAGGGCAGGAGGCTGTGTGCGCGCAGGGGGCAGCGGAGATGGACAGCCTGCAGAAGCGGGGGTGTGTGTCCAGCGGGGCGTCAGCATGTGCGGGGGATACATCAGCGACAGTATGAGACCAGGAGCAGGCTGTGGGGCAGGGAGCTGGCTTAGTGACCGAGATGCGGAAGGATACCTGGGGGCTTCGAGGGGGCATCCCCCGGGAAGGAGGGAAGCTGGCCGGGGCTGCCGATNGGACGGGGACGGGAACGGGAACAGGATGGGAACTGGAACCGGATGGGAACGGGACGGGAACGGGAACGGGTGAGGGAAGGGGTGGGACCAGGACGGGAACGGCAACGGGAAGGGGAATGGGAATAGGAACGGGAATGGGCAAGGGAAATGGTGGAACTGGGATGGGAATGGGAACAGGCAGGGGAAGTGGTGGGACCGGGATGGGAATAGGCAGGGGAAGTGGTGAAACCGGGATGGGAACGGGCCGGGACAGGCAGGAGAGGTGGTGGAACTAGGAGAGGACTGGGCACAGAGAACAGCGGGATAGGGCCGGACTAGGACCGGCACTGAGGAATCATCAGGACAGGACCCCGCCGGGGCACGGGGAGAAGGACGGGCGTTGTTTCCTTCCCTCTGCTCCCCTTGAAAGCGGTGAAAGCCCCTGTGCGTCCTGCCAAGGGCACACCTGGTTTTCCGTGGCCCCAGTTGTGCCCCCATGGGGCACCCCACACTCCAATGGGGTGTGTGGGTCCATGGGATAGTCTGAAATATCTGAGGCTTGTGGAGTTGAAGTGCAGCTCCTGGAAGGTTGAGGGTGTGCCAGTCCCCAGTCCCAGCCTGCCTTTCCTCACCCCTGCCTGGCCTCAGTGAACCCACTCTCACCCTGGCTCTATGCTCCTTCCTCCCCACAGAGTCATTGCTGCCTCCCCTTGAGGGACCCACCTGGCCCCCATGGGAACCCACACAGAGTTCAGGTTAGTCCCTCGGGGCTCTGATGGGACCCTGGAGCTTTGGGGAATATCTGGAAGGGGGACAAGCTCCCTTGTCCATTTCCCAAGGAGAGCATGACCAGCTCTCTCCTCAATGGTCCTTGTACATCCCTGTGCCAGAGGCCACTGGCCCCAGAGCTGTGATCTGCACTGGTGATGGAACCCCCAGCCATGCCTAGAGAGGGGCTGTGCTCTGGGGAGGTTTGCTGGGCAGTCAGGCTGGGGTGGTTGCTCCTGCTGAAGCTCCCAGGGTGCCCCATGGGGAGCACGGGATGAGAGAGGAGCATTCCCATGAGCAGTAGCATTCCCTTCAGCCTCCACTGTGGCCCAGGAGGATGGTGATGTCAGGAGAGTCTGGGGATGATGTCAGGGGAGTTTGGGAAAGTGTGATGAGATCGTTTCCAGTCAAGAGGCCCTCATCCCTGCAGGCGATTACAATTACAATTTGCTTTAAGAAGGTGGTAGCCACTGGTAGAAAACCACCTGACCCGCTTACACAGCCCTGTGGGGTAGGTAGCCCCATTACCTCCAGCTCTATGGGCAGCCCTCATTGCCTCCCACCCCTTTCCCTAATTCCAGGGCATGCCAACAGCTCCATGTCCCTCTCCATTATATATTTCTGTACCCAGGGCATATGCCTGTCTCCAGGCCCGTGTCCCTATCCCCCAGACCCACATCACTGTCCCCTGTCATTGCTTCTGTCCAAGCCCCATGTCCCTCTCTCCCAACCTATGTCCATGTCTGCAGCCCCATGTTCCTGTCCCTCAGCGCCATATCTCTGTTCTCAGCCTATATCCTTGTCCCCAGCACCATGTCTCTGCCCCCAGCCCTGTGACCCCATTACTAGCCCGTATCCCAATTCCAGCACCACATTCCTGCCCTCGGCGCCTTGTTCCCGGCCTCAGCCCGTGTCCCTGCCCCAGACGGTGTCTCCGTGCCCTGTACCCCCGTTCCCGCTCTGTTCCAGCCCCATGCCCGCGTCCCCAGCGCCGTGTCCCTGTCCCCAGCCCTATGCCCCAGTTCCCAGCCCATATCTCGGGTTCCAGCCTGGTGTCCCTTTCCCGCAGCTTCCCATCTCCATTCCCGCCCGTGTCGCTGTCCCCCCGTGCCCAGGTCAGCGCCGGGT